AAGCTGGTCCAAGCGTATATTTGTTCCTGCGCTCTGTAGCGTGGTTAATGTTTTACAGCTGGGTTATTGATTGGCACAGAGAGGCGTAATAACTAGCACCATCAAATCAGTGATGGAGTAGTGCAAGTAGAGCAATGGAGTTGTGGATTTTTGTCTCTCTCAAGTGTTTCTGAAGCATGCACATTCTAGTTCCTCCCCAGTAACTGTTTCCCTGTTAATTGAGGAACAGTTTTATATCATATTGTCTCCAAACTTCTAAAGGTTCTGTCATAATTGTTGGTCTGGTATGAACAGTAGGTGCTCTGCTGTTCCTTTTCATAGTGGATATAGTAGTTCTAATTTGTTCCCTTTTAAACTGCAGATGACAGTTGATAATTCATTTGATAATAAAAATGAGTGCTGATTAAAGAAGGTCAGCTTTAAGATGTGTTTATACCCTGTGGTTTGACTTTTTCAGTAAAATTAACCACTAGGTTGAATTTGCCATCTTTCAGGGCTCTCTTAATTGTCACAGCTAAACACATTTGGCATTTTTGTTGCTTGTGCTTTTGACTTCAATATTCTAAATTGGGGCCAAATCATTACTTCTTATGGGGAAAATGTATGTGGGTTGTGTAAAGAGGGGAAGCGGGGTGGGTTAGAGAGTGATCTTACCATCCTGTGACATTTCCCCCAAATTCTTAAGAGGGCATTAGGGTTCATGGGGGGTGGGGGCGTTCTTTTAAGCCTTTCATCTAAGAGTGTAGACAGCTATAGCGGTTATACCAGGAGCCCTGATATATAGATATGATAGTCACATCAGTATACTCCGATAGAAGCACAAATATATCACAACCATGGTAACTTTTTAACCCTGTCTTGTGTTTCCACACTGAATTCGAAGACCCTGTTGCTGTCCCTGGTTGGTTCCTTTTACCTTTACTGTGTTTTGTGTGGTTGACCCATGCTGACTTGTGGGGTGCCCCGCTCTTCCATGTGCAGATTTCTGTGCTCAGAGAATCCTCTCTAACCTTTGTCCCAGTGGCAGAGCATATGAGGTTCTTTCCATCAGTCTATCTGGATAAGATGCATGTGTAGACATGATGACCTCTATCCATTGAGCTATGGAACATGAGGCCCTTAATTCTGTATACATTTTTTCTATGTGAAAATTATGCACAAGTGGCAAAATACAAAAGTTTTACATGAATAGATTTTTAAAAGTTGTTGTAGAGTGCGTCAGACAAGGATAATGTTGCCTTGAGCAGGGGCTGTATTGGCTCTCCTCCTGAGGGCCCCTCTGACCCTACTTTTCTATGATTCTATGGCTTTCTCTGTTATAAATAAAGATAGCAAAGTCCATATAGCATTTATAAATAAGTTTGCAAAGTCAAGTGTGAACGAAGCCTGTAAAGCATAGCTTGAATTTTTATTGATGCTGTTTAATATGGCATCAAAGTCTTTGAAGCTGCTTTTGACAAAGAAATGTACTGAAATAAAAGTCAGACCTTAATTGTTGTACAAAAGCAATATAATCATCTGTAATTGAATTGTCAGAAATGCAAATGTTATCTTCTTGACATTTACCATTGCTGTTCTGTCTTTTCTAATTATCTGTATTAAAGGCTGAAATTAACAAAGGAAATGGTTTAAAATTAGGAATGGTTTGTTACATTAGGTGACATTTACTTCTTTGATACCCTTTATCTCCAATTGGAGCTTGATGTTCAATTATTGTCTCTCTTCTAGGGAATTGCACCAAAATTGAGATTTTCTACAAGCTCCCTTATTACGGAAAGTGTGTTAAGTTCAGGAAGGATTCACACACAGGTTAGCATAATTTAATTGCTTGCAATTTAATTTCTTGATTTAACATTGATAGCTGTGATGCCCATTTTTTTCTGCGTACTGCTCACTTCAGACTTCTCATTCTTTTGTTGGGGGTAAAGCAGTTGTCATGGATGCTTGTCAACTTGATTACATTTTTACTCAAGAGTGAGTAAAGAGTAGACTTGGTGCATGACAGGAAATGCTGAGAGTTCCTTGATTCCAAAAAAATTAGCAGCTGCCATGTCATATAATCAGCTGACCTATCAGTGCCTGGTGGAAAGATACCTTCTCATCATTTCTACTGACACTGCTAAAATCAAGGTTATTCAATAGCATCCTGATGAACCAGAAGAAGATGTCATTTAAAAATAAGATGATAAATAGCTAGGAGAAAAAAAAAAGAAAGTCTTAATTGTAATTAAGATGATTTCAATTAAAAAAGTTATCATAAACTTGCTGATCAAATATCAATGTGGAAATCATATACCTATTACAGTTGACTTATTAAATGAGCTTACTGAAGAGCCTTGAAGAGCATCTTTTTCTTCAGTTCCTTTTTGCGCAATTGATAGTGCTTTATTTAGCATTTCACTGCCTTGAACATCAGTTTGACCTGTCATATGCACTCATGTGAGGACATCAGTTTTATGCCTTTTTTTTCCCAGCCTGTCCAAAATGGTGCTTACTAGTAATAGCAAAATGCACCCTGGAAAGTGGATGGGTGATAGGCAGGAACATGCACAGGGGAAGAAGTTGGAGGCCTGGATATGTCTGAGGATAGCTGCTGTCGGATTGCCTAAAAGTCCCCTCTAAACTTAAGGCTGTTTTTATTCCCATGCTTATCCAAATTATTAAAGAAAAAAGTAAAGATTGGCATGTGATGCTGGAAAAGAGTTCTCTGAAACCAACAAAAAATCAGGTTGTGTTGTTTTAAAGAGAGACCATAGTGTTGCAGTCTCTCAAATGTACCTAACAAGTTACAAAACAACATTACAGGTTTGTAAGGATGTATAGCCTTAAACATCTATTCATCATTGTGTGTGCACATGGAAAGCCAAAGAGCAGCTTCTAGTCAGTCACATTCCCAGGTTCTTTACTACAGCACCATTTTAGCATTTCAGGCACTGAATAGGTTTTAGAGCATTGCCTCGTTTCTTTTATTTTTTTAAAAGAAAATAATTTTTGACATTAAGCTTTTACAAAATATAAAATTTGGACAGAGTTTGGGAATTCTGGTTCACCATTCTGTGAAATTCAAACTCAAATGTGTCTTGAGCAAGTGTTCAAAGACATCTAGTGCTATGATCCATAAAGCCCAGAGAGCAAATGAAAGATCACTTTCTGCTGGAAATTGGATACATTGGAACTCCTTTGTAAGTGAAACTTTAGTGCCAAAAATATTAATCTTACGATTGCATCTTAAACTGCTAATTGAAGATGCTAATAGTTAAGGCCAACTGTTCCCTCAACTAACTCTTAGATAGGTTTTGGATCTTGAAAAAGAATTGCATTGTTAGTATAGCATGCATGGGCACATATATTAGAGAAGCTGTTTTAGTAGAAGCTTTTTCTTTTTAAAGAATTAATAATTCTGTCTTTCAATTAAATGCAGTTTTTAAATGAGCTAATTTTAGGCAGCTTGTAAACTGCACATAATTTAAGAATTAAACAAGCATACTGCCATTTTCTATATACCATAAAAAGGTTTTTAATAGATTTAGTGTTACCTAAGTGTAATGTAAGCTGAAAGATTTACAAAACATTTATAGGAAGGTGAACAAATATTTTAAATCTGTAAACATCCAGTCATGTTTTAGATAGAGTCATTAAATGAACTAAAGTGACATAATTCAACTTAATTTTACAGAACATTTTTCCCACCAACTGTGTGAGCAAGCTAATTAGATAAGTAACAGGCACTTAACCTTAAAGTCTGACATTTAACAATGTGCATTTTAACCTCCTTCTGGTTTTAAACAAATCTAAAAATGCATTTTTGTTTAAATTGCTGTTTGATTATAGTTTTGGTAGGTTAACTTAAACTGACACGCATCCATTTCTGTCAAAGGTATTTGTTCCCTTTTGGACATGTTTTGAATGTTGCATTATCACCAGTGATCTTTGCTCTACGTGCTGTCAAAGCAGATAATTTCTCTTTTCACTTTAGGATCATTTGGATCGGGTGCATCATTCAACACCAAATGGAAAATTGCAAACAAGGTTACCAAAGAAAAACACCCTTTCACCTGAGAAAGGCAGGCATAGCCCAGCAACAAAGAACTACGAGCAACCCACAATAGCTTCTAAATCACGATCTCCATCTCCATACACAAAAAGACGAATGTGTGAGCTATCAGAAGAAGCCAGACAACGCCTGGCCCATTTAAACCTCGGGCCTTTTGAATTCAGAAGAGAAACTGATAAACCACCATTTGTAGTTAGACGTGTATGTGTTCTCTACAAAGTGTTTCCAATTTAAGCTCAGATCAAATATTGTTCTTTCTCTGAACACTACTGCAAAAAAAAATCATTCACTTCCCAGTGTATATGAATAATTTTTCTCTCCAAAATAGCCTGCCACTTAGTGATTTAAATGTAAAATTAACTAGAATAAAAGTTCTTTTGTCAGCACTGCTAATAGACAAAAATCAAGTTCTTTCATGAATACCATGGTTAAATGCTTTGAGCATCTCTATCCTTTTTTTTCTAACACACTGGGCAGGATAATGTGTGTGTAAATTCAACTGGGAAGTAATAGGTATTAATAATAAAAGTGGGACACTAGGATTTAAAACAGGGCACATAGTAACTTTAAAAAATCAGGCTGCTTTCTTAACTTTCCTTATCTTCTCCCATACTCTTTTGAAACAATCTTTTTACTAACATCTAAATCTTCAAGAGTTTGATCATTCAGGTTCCTGGTCACTCTGACCTTGGCCCAAGAAGGCAGTCATGCATGCATGTATCCATTTTGAGTCCCTGCCTTCAGTAGGGCTATTTAAAACTACTGGTATTTTAAGTACTTTCCTAGTTTGGGACAACATTTTAGGATCTTGGAAGATCATAATCTGATTTGCTTTATTTTTCTTTACATATTTTCCATGGTAACGATAAGTACCTATTTTAAGAACCCAACCTTGAAAGACTGGAGAGACAGAAACTGGAGACACAAATAAGACTGTTTTGTTTTTCACTCTGTGCTATAAGTACATACAGTTTCACGTGTCTGCCACAATATGTGATTAACTTGCTTATCCATATCATTTTCTAGTTATTAATAATTGATTTTCTTGTCCATATATTGTCTAATTCTAGAATTCACTTAAAAGGTTTTTTTAGTCCTAGATATCTTTTAGAAATTCAAATCAGTCTTAACTGATAACCATTACTTGCTCTTCATCCTACTGTTTATCACTCATATGGATATTTTTCCTTCTAGCTTAATTTTTTTTTTTCTGTTTTCTGTTCTATAGTGTAATTGCTGCATTTTTTTGGTCCCAGTTGCTGATTCTGATTACATTTGTGCCTCTCGTGCATTTTCTTTTTGTAGCTCTGCTGCATTATTTTAATATACCATATATAGACTATAATTGCCTTCCTGTTTTGATAACACACCTTATGTGTATACTTAATGCTGAGATTTGTACAGACGTGGAAATTTTCTCTGTATCATTAAGATCAAAATTAGCTTTTTGTTGGAAGGTAATTTTTTACTTGGGGAAAAGATCAGCACTTTTAAGTATCATGGTGAGATCAGAACTATTTCTGGTGAATACTACTTATCAAAATCTGCCAAAAAAATAAATTGTACAAGCCAACTAAAAAAAGGTTGCATGTATTGGGGAAGTTAAAAATAAGGAGCTAAACTTGATTATTTTGAGTTCTGTTAAGAAGGCTATAGTGGTACTGCTTAAATGCAAAAGACAGTAAGTTGCACCCTTTCTCCTGTATGTCTTGTGTCCCTTCTTATTTGCTTCATAATACCTAATTTACAGCGTTTAATACATTTTCAGTGAATGTACGTAATTGTAAATAATGGTGTGTGTGTGTGTAGACAGACAAGCTGTTATATACTAAGCATTTTAACAGTGTTTTGGCTCCAGGTTGAACATCCAAGTCCTTCTGGCAATCTTCCTACCTGGTGTACCCCCAGAGAGAGTGCAAGAGAAGCCTGGTCCCGAGTAACCTGTGGTGAGTACTGCCTTCCATATAGATAGTCCATATAGGAGGTTCATATTTTTAACCCCTTAATGTGGAAACACTGTTCTTTCTTCTGAGGATTTAGCCAAGACACTCCAAAGAATAGCTTGAGTTCTTTTGCTTCTCTAGATGTTAGGTTGTTTAGTTGCTTATCATCTCAAAGCGGCAAAGTAGTACCATTGCTAAGCTATTACGTTGGTTTGGGACAGTGTACATATGTTTTCCGGACTTGGACAATGAGGGTAGAGTGTTTGTGGGAGGTGGAGATGAAATACTCTGAGTCCCCTACCAGATTCCAGTGTTGCAGAAACTGATAGTAACTCTCCTACAGCCATATGGGTGAGTAGTTGATGGGTGATATAATATTATTCTGGATATTCACTCACCAAGAAACATGTGCTCGTATATCTCCCCAGACATGTGTATTGGCATAAACAGCAGAGGATGGTCTAATTGCTCTGGCACCCAACACAGTTTTACTACAATAAAAAATGGTGACAGCAAGACCTGCAGCACAGGTAGAGAGTGTTGCAGCTGGTTTTCAACCAGTGTCCATAAATTCACATGGTTCTTAATAACTGTGGCTGACGCTTTTCATGTTAATAATGCTTACATGGAAGATGGTCCAAATTTAGCACTTAACCAAAGCTGTCAGCACAGCTACATCATACATTGGTTCAAATCACAAAACATCATGTTTAAATACACAAAACTAAGAATTTCACCTGAAATGATGAACTAATACTTATGAGCACCATTTAATAATAGAATAACTCTATGGGTAAGTAGCCAGGATGAGCATAACTGGTATTTATGGCAACATAGTCATTCTCCTTGTTTCATAGTTTCTGCAAGAGAACTCCCAGTGCTGCTGTCATACCTTTTATGCTCAATACTAGAATACCCATTTACTTCTGTAGTCAGAGTTTAGAGGCCTTTTCCAAAACTGCCTCCATCCAGTGTCTTGTGATCTAGAAATTGGTTGTTGATGTCTTTATTTGAGCTGAAAAATACAGAATCTAGTCCTGTTATGCCTACCTATAATGTAGGTTGGTGTTTTAGATACTTCATGTATCTTATCATCTTTTATTTCTCATTTATGCCAGGATTATCTGCTCCATTGCTTCCAGTAATCCATGGATTAAAGTTAGAATCTCTTAGTGAAGAGCTTTGTTTGAAACAGCCCTACTTTAATATACTGTATTTTCACAGACCTGAAGAACCACTGTCTGCCTTTGTTAAAATTAGGGAAGGCACTGGTTTTAAATGCTTAGATATCCTTCTGCAAGGGGCAAAGATCTTTGTGGTGATATTTTTTTATTTCTTTGTAGTATTAATCAGAAAATATGGTAGCATAATGACCGCTAATTAGTATTTATATACATCAGGTGTCCTTCTGTTGAGTCTTGTTGTGACTCCTCACTTTAAAGAAATAAAGTGCAGTTTACCATGAATTAGTTCAAAATTTACCCAAAGTGACGGGACTGGATGGCTCAGGATATAAGTATATTTAAAGGTCTCACATTTCTTTCAGGGCCATAAACTTGACTGTCACAGATGGGTAATGTCAAAGACATATCACCTAATGACCATTAAGCACTTACATGAAACGAGTTGGTGGTCTTAGGCCAGTAGCTACGTGTCTAAAATATACTTCACTTGTAACAGATCAGAGGATTTCCTAGTAGAAAGCCATTCTCCTGTCCATGGCTTGGGGCTTAACAATTGTAACCTTCAGATTTCTAGAATCAGAAAGTCTAATCTTGGCAAAGATAGCTCGGCCCTTTTTTATTTCTAAAGTAAGCTAACTGATGGTATGTCTATCATCATCAGCAGTCCGTTGCAGTTGAGGATGATTGTCTTCTTTGACTGTTTTAGCTGTGCATCCAAAGATGACTGATGAGGCTGATCAAGGATCAACAGACGGTTGCAACTCAGGCATGTGTTTCTGGGCTCTGGATTTTGATTCGGTCTGCAACATGCTTTTTCTGCCACTCCCACTTTTCTGTCTCCTGTTGTCATCATGAGGTTTCAACGTACTGAGATCCTTGCAGCAGACTCTTCCTCCATTTAGAGAATGGAGGAATGGAGGTGGTTCTGGGCTGTGGTTCTCCATGAGTTGATGTTGATGTTACATTTTTTCAAGTCGGTCTTGAGGACGTCCTTGAAGCACTTTCTCTGCCCTCCTCTTAAGTGTATGCCTTAATTGAGGTGGGAGAATAAAACTTACTTCTGGAGTCTGGAGTTGGATGTCCAGATGACATGGCTGGCCCAGCAAAGTTGATGTTGGATGATTGTCACCTTGATGCTCGTAGTGTTTGCTTGTACAGTAAGGTAGGGATCACAGGTGCTTCATAAACCATGAACTTGGTTTCAGATCTTATGGTGTGATATTTGAGCATCCATTTCCTCAGGCATCCAAAGGCTGCACTTGCACTTTTAAGGCAGTGTTGGATTTCTTGGATTCTGGATGCCAGCTTTCTAAGGTACAGGAAATACTCAATATTCTCCAAAGTCACACCATAAATCTGAATTACTGGACCTGGGTACTGTACATTAAGTGCTTGTTCATGGAGGACCTTGATCTTCTAAATTTTAAGCGTCAGTCCCATTTTCTTGTATGCCTCAGTAAAGATGTCAGCGATTGCCTGAAGGTCTGCTTCCGAGTAAGCGCACACTGCAGCATCATCGGTGTATTGGTGATTGACGACTGAAGTCAGGATAGTCTTGATTTTGGCTCAGAGTCAGCTGAGATTAAACAGCTTACCATCCCTTTGGTAATTTAGCTCCAGTCCGACTGAAAGCTTGGTGGTGGTCAGATGTAGCACGGCAGCCAGGAATATTGAGAAAAGTGTTGGAGTGATGACTCAGACTTGTTTAACCCCATCTGACCTCAAAGGGATCTATAATAGAGCTGCTACTGAGAACCACCGCTTGCATACTGTCATGGCGCAGGTAAAGAATGATGATGAATTTCCACCGTTCGGGAAATTCGTATAGCGGACATCCGCGCTTCAGAAGGATCCTCCTCAGTGCTTCTTGGTTGACAGAGCTGAAGGCTTTTGTGGGGTCAAAGAAGGCTGTGTAGAGAGGTTTATGTTGTTCCTGGCATTTTTCCTGCAGCTGGCAAGCTGTGAAGGTCATGTCAGTTGTGCCTCTTGATGCCCTAAACCAGGGGCAAGCAAAATACGGCCTGTGGGCCGAATCCAGTCCACCATTCGCTTTCATTCAGCCCTCAGCACCCACCAACAAATTGTACCCCGCCCAGCCCTTCCACCCACAAGGTACCCATGTGTACATACACCCCCAAACATACCCAGTTGCACCTCGCTCCCACCTTTGTGGGTGGAAGGGCTTGACTTGGTCAGTATGCAGGTTCCGGGTAGTGCTGCTGCTGCTGTTGCTGCTGCAGCAGCCCCCTGGGACCTGCTTCACTTCCCTGCTCTGCTGCTGGCTCCAGGCAGCAGGTAGGAAAGCAGTGGGGGTGGGGCTGCAGCTGGGCCAGAGCGTGGGGCTGGGGCTGGCGGCAGTGCAAAGCCTGCACCCAGGGGGTGGTGGCAGTGTGGATCTTGGGTGGGCGGCATATGGGTGTGAGGGGTGCTGCATGGTGTGGGGATCCCCCTCATAGTGCACAGCCCTGGCAGACGATGGCAGCAGCAGCAGGTGGGGACATTTAGGGCACTCATGCCCGGTACGTGCCATCAGGTCGTGGCTCTGCCGAGCACTGCACATTGCAGTGAGGGGCGAAGCCTCCCCTGGGCAGTCTATATTGCCAGCGCTCCCTGCCAATCACATTTAGCTCCTGCACACATTGGGCAGAGGAGGGAAGCCCCAGGTACTGGAGCCGGCTCTAGCAAGATGTTGAATCATCTTTGTCTAGCCTTCCCACCATCTGTTTTTCATATTGCAGGGCCTCTGCCTTGGCTTGGTGCTTCAATTTCTTTTGGAGTTGATGTCATTCTGCCAAGCACAAAAGACCTTGCACTTGCAGTCCATCAACTCCTTGGATCTCCCAGTCATTCTCATCAAACCAGTCTTGATGGTTCCTGGTAGAGAATCCAAGCATCTTTCCACAAGCGCTGATGACGGTGGATCTGAAAGCACCCCAAGCACTGCCAGCATTCTCCCATTGCTGTTGACTGGAATTTGCCAGTCTTTCACTGAGGCACTGGTGAAAGCGGTCCTGCTTGATTGGTCCCTTAAGTCCTTCAACATGGATATTTCATTGGCATTACTTCTGCTGCAGCATTCGTTTGGGAGCCTGTTTGAGTGACATAACCAAAAGATGAGTCAGTGTTTGGTCCAGCAGTCATCAGCTCCTAGCGTAGCTTGAATAATGTGGACATCTTTGCAATCCTGGGCACAAACAATGGTGTAGTGCCAATCCAGTGGCAATGCTTAGATTGTGGGTGTTGATGTCTCGTGCCTCTTTTTCTGGTGGAGCCGGGCATTGGTGATGGTGAGTTCATGTTCCGTGCATTTGGTCAAGAGGAGGATGCCGTTGAAGTTGACCTTTCCCACTCCTTCCTTGCCAGTGGGTCTGTTCCAGAGGTTCAAGCCCCTTCCAACTCTGGCATTGAAATCACTGAGCACAATAAGTCTGTCTCCCTCTGGAATGTCGGAAGGGACTTGGTCAAGGTTGATATAAAATTCCTCCTTGGTTTTGTCAGGGGTGTCAAAAGTTGGGGCGTATATGCTGATGACAGTAGCATATTGGCTCTCTGCCAATTTAAGATGGAGAGTCATGAGGTGCTCATTAATTTGGATAGGGAACTCATTGAGTTGGTTTGAGTTCTTTCTGAATGGCAAAGCCAACTCCATGAAGTTGGCATTCTCCTTCCTGTTTACCCTTCCAGAAGAGGGTATAGCTGCCTCCTTGTTTGTTGAGCTTCCCATCTCCTGCTTGCTGGGTCTCACTTAGTGCAGGGATGATGAATCTACTTTGCCAAGTTCTGTGTAGCATAGAGATACCCGAGCTAGTTTTAACCTTGTCAGCTTGGGTCCTGGAAGCATTCTAGCTCAGGCAATGTGCACAGCGCACACAATTAACGTATATACCACACATACCTTTCCTTCCAAAATCAGCCCCTCAAGATAAGGCTGTGTGCTATCAGCATTTCCACTAAGATCATGTGGCTGGGATGATCTACTTGGGGCTGGTCCTGCTTTGAGCAGGGGGTTGGATGAGATGTGACCTACTGAGGTCCCTTCCAACCCTAATTTTCTAGGATGCTATGTGTCAGTAACATAGCACTGCTGTAAAGCAAAAAGCTTGAAACAGTTGTAAAAAAAATTCAGCTGAAGAAAGCCAAACCTTAAGGTGTTAATGGCTTTGCTGCTGTCTTGAATTGCACAATATATGACAACAATAAATTGGTTTGGATACTATTTGAAAGGTTTTGCTAAAGACCTTTTTTAATTTCCCTAAATTAAAAAAATACTCTCTCGGTGGTCTGAGAAATTGTTCAATTTCTGTCTCTGCACTTTTTTTTTCCCAGATCCTTCTCTTCTTGGCAGCTACAGACCTAAGAAAACTAAAGTAAGTACTGCAAATAATATTGCATGTAAATTGCCTTGTGCTTTAGGGGAGCTGAGAACAGAAAGATTGCGTATTATCCTGTTTTGAAGGTGATGAAATTGAAAATATAGCTTGTGTCTAGGGTTTTGATGCTATATAGGACATTATTTTGCACAGTTAAGGTCTTCTACATTTTTTTTTTTTTTTACTGTGAAAAGTGTTCTCAACGTTCTGTACAAGACTGGTGAGACTATGAAAATAAACTGTTGCTGAGTATTCATGATCTGCAGTTAGAAGGACTACTTTTCATTTATATTAAGGCTGCTTTACAACATCAGAGCTGTGGAAAGGCACCTTAAAATGGGTATAAAATTACATTTACAATCACTTTGAGAGAACTCCTCGCAGCCTCAGAGCACTGTAAAGTGGCACTGGTGTAACGGACAGATAAGCCAGCAATGCTTTATTTTTTTTTTTTAAAGTTACTGCTAGTTACTTCACATGTTCTTCTTTTAAAATCCTAGCTGCTTTGTATACAGAAGAGGGTTCTTGGGTTCTTTCCCCCCCTGCTTCAGTTAGCTGCTTGTCCTGTGTTCTTAATTGGGGTGGAAAAGCTTCTCTATCACACCTACCTGACAGTTCTCCTTTCACATTTCTAACTATAACACTTATTTTCTCTACACTTTGTAAGTTTTTCTCTTTCCTGAAGCACTCCGGAAACTTTGCCAGCAGCTGTAGGCAGTCATTAATGTGTGTGTGTGTGTGCCCTGTTAGGTTCCCTAATGGTTGTCAAGAGTAATGATATAGAAAGGAGGAAGTAAAGTGAATTAAAAGGATAATCTTTTCATATGGGCTAAACACACACTTGTGTCTGTTTTTCAACTTTACTGTGTAGGATTGCAGTGTTAGGTACCATGTAAGGCTAATATAGTATATTGTGCTGCCTCTGGATTACTTCATAGTCATAAACGAAAAATTGGAAAGAGAACTTCTACTAAATATGTTTTTATAATGGACATTTTAATTAAAAACCATTTTCCTCAAATGAGGAAGAAGATATTAGCAGCAGTCATTGTTTGGAGCACACAGATAACACAGCTACAGATTAATTCATCACTCTCCTGATGCCCCAAAGCATTTCTGGTTCCAACAAAATAAAGGCAGAAGGGAATATACCCTTTCTGTTGCCAAAAATATTGTACAGCATTAAACTAGATGTAATTAGTATTGTGTGGACTAAGAGAACCTGAGAATTATTAATGGTGAAATGTAGCTGTTATGTGGAAATTGGTATTGAATTTAATAAGATGCTGTTTTGTCCAAGTGTGTTTAATCAGCAGACTCTACTGACTAAGACTCTAATTTTGTAACAAACATCAAATACATCTTTTAGATTTGTTGTGATGGGATATTTACACCCCACGCAGCAGCAGACCAGAAAGAGATATTGAAGAGCCTAATTACTTCCCCCAGCTTTGACCAAGCAGCCAATTATAAATAGCTGCTATAAAAGACTGCAGCTCAGGCAGCAAGGGGCAGCAGGTGAGGAGGCTGCCTTGGAGAGACTTCATAGATACAGGTTGAGAGAAGCTGTGGAAAGGCTCATGTAGGGAGAAAGACAGTGAAGCAGGTAAGGCAGAAGTGGTAAGGGATGGACATTGAGGGAATAGTCCTCTGCTGGTTAAGGGCATGTAGACAAAACGGGGGCCCTAAATTGAAGCAGTGGGTTTTTAAATTGATAAGGAGTTTTTTAAAACCCCCTTATCGTGCACACACCCTGCACTTACCTGCCTTTCCGGCAGTGGGGAGTGGGGGATGAGCTGCCGGCAGGTGGAGCAGTCCCTGGGCTGCAGGGGAGGAAGGGGATGGGTTGGTGCTTCCCTCTGTGGCAGCGGTGGGTCCCCCCCCCCCAGGCAGCAGCAGTCCACAGGCACCCAGCTCGGGCAGTCCTGGGGGGCACCGCAGGTGCAGAGGGAAGTACTGGGCTCCCACGCAGCTCATGCATGCAGGCAGGCTCTGGGTGTGGGGAAGCAGGGATCAGGCTCACTGCTTTTCTTGGGCAGTCTGCCTTCCCAGGCTGCCTGCAAAGCCGTGGAGCTGCATGGAGCCTGGTACTTCACTCTGTGGCTGTAGGGGCAGCAAACTAAAACTCCTCAGAGGAATTTTAGTTTGCTGCGCCCCAAGTCATTTAAGGCGCATTACATAGCTGAATTTCCTACAGTTCCTGGAATTAATGTGCAATACACCGCCGGGGTGTGCAAACCATTAAAGCGGTGCAAAAGTATTTAGCCCGCTTTAAAGTATTGTGCACACCCACCCCTCGTTTCATCTACACACGGCCCAGCACAGGATCCCTAGGCTGGAATGTAGAAGTGAGGGCTGGCCTTGTAGAAGAAGTAGGAACAATCCTAGAGGTAAAGAGACTTGGGCTATGGAGGTCTGGACTGGGCAGAGGGCTAAGAGTGGGCATATGACTGTCTGGGCTTTGGAGTATGAGTTGGGACTTTGCTACCCTTAAGATGGGTGAGTCTCTGAGCTATGCAGTTAGAAAATGTTATGGGGAACATAAGGACTGCTTTTTTAGACCCAGCCATAAAGGGG